ATTTAATTTATGAATACAAAATACTTGAATATAAATATTAAAAAAAAAAAAAAAATACTTGAAATTAAGGTCTAAAAGTTATAAAAATTGCAGCAATATTAAAAAAAATTAGGTATAAAAATTTTAATATACTTAAAATAATACAATGAAATTTTTACTGTAATTTTTTATAAATTGTTAATAAACTGGCTAGTCAAACAAAAATAACCATTAGTGTAAAAGCGAATAAGAGATAACTCGTGAGAAAGGCAGCACTAGCGAGTTAAAAGGAAAGAAATAACACAAATTATATGTCCCGAGTGAACTACCTTAATTGATTGATTGATGAGGGTGATAGCGATTTTTAAATGTAAATAGACTGATTTGAAGGCCTATTTGTTGTGACAATGTTTCGAAAACGTAAAAAAAAAATCATGCAATTTTTATATTAATTTTTTAATGCTTTAATTTTGCGCTTAAAAGTCTGACGATTTATTTTTTTTACTCCAATTTTTTGGTAATTTAAAAACGAAGATAATAATTTTTATCAAGTCTGTTCGATGGTGTAATGACTTATTTTTTTTTTTTTTTTGGAAAATATTTTTATGTAATTTTGCGTGCTCGATTATATATATAATATATTATTGTAATTAAACGGGGGATTTATCCTGTTTATTTATGCGTCCGACATTGTGACAATATTTTTCTATTAGTCTCAAAACAGAGTATTAATAAATATATAAATATATATTAAAAAAAAATTGTGAAAAGTAACAATAATAATTGATAGCTACTAAGATAATAATTAATGAAGAAAGATATATAATTATAAGAACGTCCTGTTTTATTTTTTAATTATTATTGAGAATAACGATTGAAGGAAAAATGAAACAGGACATGTAATTTTGTATTGGACTTTGTAACCGATGTAGATATTTTGTGTAATGTTCGTTTTTTTTTTTTTATTAATATTTATTAAAAACATTTTTTATACTATGTCGCCTTGTTAATTTATTAATTCCTAATAAAACCTATCTCATACTTTGATTAATTATAAATTAATTTTCGCGAAATAAAAATGTATTTTTTTTTATCTTATTAATTATTTAAAATAATTTTATCAAGTACAGGATTTTATTCCAAGCTTACAATCATTTAATTACAAAGAGCACTTCAAGTCACACAATTTATTTATTTTTATCAGCGCTAAAAAAAAATTGTTTCTTTTATTTTTTAATACGGCAAAGCTTTTGTACTTAAACTCAATAAAAAAAAAATTACACATGCTTATAAAAATTAATTACAAAATATCCGGATTTATAATTTTATAAATAAATCAAGTGTTTATTTATTTTAATTTTAAAACAAATGGTAGTTTTATTTTTACTCATACTAATTATTTTTTGCTAATTTTACGTTTTAAATTCAAAGTTACATTTTTAGTAAACAATAAAAAATGCTAGTTCTTGGATATATATTTTTTGATAATTTCACTTTTAAATATTATTTTTAAGAAAACTCATTTTTTTATTATTTTATCAACACTGTAAATGCAAAGACTAAAATTTTCTTGAAATTTATCAATATATTTACAATGTATTTCTATTAAAATTTTATAAAGCTTAAATTATTTTTAATTCAATTTTTTTTCTCAATAAATTTTCAAAATTCTGATTTTATTTAAAAATTTTTTTTTGCATTATTTAAAAAAAAATATAATATTTAAAAGTGATAGGTATCTAACATATAAGATAAGAAATATTAAAAAATATATTTTTTGAAAATTTTATTATCACTATTAAAAATTTAATTAAATTTATAATTTTTTTTGAACGATCAAATAATTTTTTGAGTTAGATTTAAAAAAAAATTTTTTTTCAATAAATTCCAAATGAAAAAAAATTTTTAATAGTGATAATTTAATTATAATCAATAAACAAAAGGAATAATTAATGAATATTTATAATTATTTTTTTTTCAACAGCACTCTTATACTCAGAATGTCCAATAGCTCAAACAATTTTCAATTTAATCTTAATTATTTAATTACTATATAATAATAATAATTATTACTTATTACTGTTAATATTTATTTATTAGACATTACGATAATTGTTAATTGTAATTGATCACCACAATTATTATTAAAATAATAAAATCCATAAAATAGGACTCGGTGATACTTTTATAAGACTTTATACATTATTTTAAATTTTATCTATCAATTAATTATTATCTAATTCTTTTTGTTTGTTGTGAAAAAATTATCTGCTGTGCAGTACCAATTATTATGTATATATATATATATATATATAAGTGAGTTTATTTTCAGCTAAAAAAGAGTTATAAAGGTATATATTTAATACAAACAAAAAATTAATAAAAATTATATAATAAAAAAAATAATCAAAGCACAAAAATATATATATAATATAATCCCTCTACATAAAATGTTTATCAAAGCAAATTACTACAGATAAATTGCATAAAGCATTTTTCATATGCTTTTTATAAAATAAATTGTAATTAAAAAAGTAAATAATATGCAAGAGCTTAAAATCAATCAATATAAAATATTATGTTTTAATTTTTTAGTTGCTTTTTTTTGTCTTAACTTCAACTTAATTTCTACATTAACAATTATTAATCTAGATTTGATATAATATCGAATGCAATTTACTGTTTACTGTAAACAAACAATCTTATTTCAAATCCTTGGCAAATTAATAGAATAAAATACACAGTATTGATTAAATTTATAATTATACTTTTCAATAATATAATAAAGAAATATCGTAAGTATAAGTATGATTTTGTTGTTGTTGATGTTATAGTAGGTACAATGTATTATATTTATTCAAATTTTTAACTTTCACACTGCTTCTACAGGTTCAATAAAATTCTAAATATTTATTTTCTATAGATTATGTATTGATTTTTTTTCTTACGTTAAAAAAAAAAAATTTTTTTAATTAGAGGAGAACACCACTGTGACGGTCGAAAAAAAAAGGTGATTTTTAAGAATTTTTTTGCCAGGGAAAATAAAGAAATTTGGAGATCGGATTTTTTTTATTTTATTAAGTATATTAAAGATTATTACCCTAAATTTGTATTGAAATATATTTAATTATTAAAAAGTTATTAACAATCTCGTAGAGTACTAGAAAAAATTAAAAACCTAAATTGCTTTTCAGTCAGTAAGGATGTAGTTATCGTTGCATGTACGGAATTTAAAAAATTTTGATTTTAAAGATTTTTTTTAGCCCAGTTAAAACAAAAAGAACAGTATAAAAAATGAGAAAATGTTCAATCAGTCGCAATTTTTTTGAAAATTTAAATTTTCAAAATTCCGTACGTGCAACGATAACTACATTCTTACTGATTAAAAAACAATTTGGCTTTTTATTTTCAGATGATCCGTTTTTAAGTTATCGGTCCAAACATGGAGGAGGAAATTTTTTCTAGTGTTCTACGAGATTAATAACTTTGTAATAAATATTTTTTGATAAAAATTTAGGGTAATAATCTTTAATGTACTCTCAATAAAATTAAAAAAAAATCGATTCCCAAATTCCTTTATTTTTCCTGTCAAAAAAATTCCCGAAAATCACCTTTTTTTTCGATCGTCACAGTGGTTCCCCTTTAATTAACATTTTTCGCAAATTAAAAAAAAATTTTTTTTTTCTTAAGTTAAATACACGGAAAGAATAAGATGACACTGAATATCATCTCAGATTATATGGAGTGAAAAAAAATTTCAAATAGTAGCTAGTATAATCTGGATTTTTTTAACTATTATCTGAAATTTTTTTTCACCACAGATATCCTGAGTATAATCTAGGGTGATATCCAGTGTCATCTTGTTCTTTCCGTCTACTCACGATTTTTCCAATCAATAAAAAAAATTTTTGTTTCATCATAAAAATTTATTACTTTCCAAAAAAAATATATGTGTATAAATATGGTTTAAAAAATTTTTTTAGATATAAATAACTGATTGTGCATCAAGACAACGAGCATAGTCATTAAAAATTGATTGGATTTTTTACAATAAAATAAAATGAAATAAAATACAAATAGATTAAAAACTGGATAATAAAGACTGTTAAAAAATCTGTCATTGTTATAAAATAATGAAAATTAATATTTAAAATTTATAAATTTTACAAATTCGTATTACTATATATTCATTATTCATTATTAATAATAATAATATCAACATTGCTATTAATATTATTACATTAACTAAAAATTTAATAATTTTTGACTTGCGCTTTTCTAAAAATCGCCCTCGATAAAATGATTTCTGTTGTACAGAAACATTTTTACGTACCAAACCATATAATATTTGTACATACTTATATATCCAATGATAAAGTGAATGGTCATAAACGTATTTCAATAACGTAAAACAACATTCACTTACAACATCAAAAATATACTATTGCAAATGTTTTATTCATTTATTTATCATTTTTAGCGTCAATCCGTGATATATAAATCACACCACAAGTAAGGTAATTGTAATTATTATCTATCCTAAAAGGTATTATATTATAATTATCATTATACCTATGATTATTACCATTAATAATTCACTCTCACACTTTTTTTTAAAATGACTTTCTCAAATTAAATCAATAAAAAAGATCCGATACGCGAGATTATATTTAAATATAATAATGAAAAAAAGACATCGGGTAATTTACATTTTTAATTGGTCAGAATTTTTACTTTTTTTTTTTTTTTTTTTTTTTAATATTAGTTAACTCTCAAACTATCTTTGACAATACCATCAATATTACATCATAAATTCTATAAAAACATTATTCCTCAACATGACATAAGCAAATCACAATGACTTTTTATCATATAAATTTTTCACGTATCGGATCTTAAATTATTTTTATTATTAATTAATATTATATTATTGTGTATTTAATATTTAATTAATATTATATAATTTATAAATTTTAAATATTAATTAAAAATGCATTAATTATTAATTATCAATTTTTTTATTACACTCTGCTACGTGATTTTTTTTCAGAAGACGAATCCACGGTTGACGTCACCCCGGTAGTAGCCGCAGCCAATCGTTTTCCACGTCTTGTTGAATTATTACTGCTCGTCTCAGCAATTTGTGTTGACCCTTAAAACCCGAATATCAACTATTCGTCCCTTTTTTTTTCTTATATTATTTAAATACATACTTTTATTTATTTATTTTTTTTTCTTCAATTTAATTATTAATCATTAATTTTTTTTAATTGTTAATATTACTTGCAATAAATTGTGAAACGATAATCAAAATTTTACAACTCCCGAAAAAATTTATAAATTTATCGTTAAAATGAATAATTAAAAAAAAAAAAATGATGTAATTTAAAAACATCACTCACCACGTAATTTCGTTCTTGTGGAACTCGGAACAGACGGAGGAGGCTTTGTAGTTTTTTTCGGTTCAGTTTTTTTGACATCAGTGTTACTGGGACGTTTACCAGCACCAGCATCAGCTCTAGTACTGCTAGCATTAGTATCTCCAGAATTCCCCGAATTGTCATTAGAGGCATCGGTTTTACTACTGCGATTCATAATTCGTTTAGCACGACTTGATACATTAGCTACAGACTTGGCTATTGCCAGTGCTTTATTGTTTGTAGCAGGGCGTTTCTTAGCACGGCTTGATTTAGGTGTTGTTGTCGTTGTCGTCGTTGCTGCTGCTGTGGTTGATTTTTTATCAACTTCTTCATCGCTGCTATCATCTTCCGAGGAGGATGACGATGAAGACGATGAACTTGATGATTCACGTTTTGACCTCTTACGTTGTCGTTGCTTAGGTTTACTTGATCCTTTTCTCCTCTTCAATTGTGATTCGTCTTTATATAACGATAAATCCACTAAAAAAATTTTTTTAAGAATTTTTAAAATTAAACATGATAACAAGTATTGTTAATTTAACATCTTAAATAATAATAATAATAATAATTATTATTATTATTATTGTAAATATTACTAATAATTAGACTGCATTCGAAAATGCTCCATCTCTAGATACATAATTAACAAATGACCTTGTATCTCGTGAACTATTAACATTCTCAAAGATATAAGCTCATCCCGATGTTACACTCATCAAGAGCTTTCATTTGAGTACCCACATGCATTTTTGATATATTTTTCATATATACATATATATAATATTTATAAATAAATGAAAAATTGATTTTGGTACTCAAATGAAAGCTCTTGATGAATGTACCATCAAGACGAGCTTATATCTTTAAAAATGTCAATATTTAAGAAAGTACAGTGCAATTTAACAAAAATTATTATTTGATAAAGCAAAATTTTGATTTTTTTTGATTCACAAGTCACGGCAGTCACATAGTGACTGCAATGTTGCTAGTTATTATTATTATTATTATTATTATTATTATTATTATTATAACTTACATCCATCAGGGTGTTCTTCCGTTACACTAGGTTTTTCAGAAACACCAGCTTCAACATCAATAGCACGCTTCAGTATATTTTCCGTTCGTAATAATTCAAATTTAGTCAATTGATATTTATTTTTATCAACTTTGTTTAAATTTAAATTCGTCAGTATGCAATCAAAGTCTGTAAACAAAAATAAATATACATTAATAATAATATATTTATCACCTATTAACTAAATAAATAATTAAATTATTTAAATTACCAGTAAAGTCATAAAAGTCAGGTGAATAAATTTCCCCATTATTTTTATCCTGCGAAAGCCAACGTATGCGAATACGCCGACTAGATTTGAAAATATTCTGCATTGCTTGGCATACATAAAAGCTACCTTCAGCATTACGCACTGCTAAAAATTCATTCCTAAAAAAAATTCAAAATTAATAATCAATAATCACCACATTTAATTAAATGCTATAAAATACATACTTGTAAAATACGATGAGTTTATCATCAGGATTTTTATTAGCAGGGGCTTTATTGAGAGTCTGTTTAACAATCAAAGCTATTTCTGGCAGAGGACTCTGATAAGGTTGGGTTTGAACCCGATTTCTTTTAGGTTTGCTACCACCTTCAGCAGATGGGCTCTTTAAATCCTTCAATTCCCGAGATTTTCGTTTGGGAGCTCGAACAGGTGAGTTTAATTTTTGCTCAGCTTTAGTCATTGTTGTTGCTGGTGAGCTTGATTCACTAGCTGCCGCCTTTGTAGGTGTAGTAGGTACTTTTTTGGTACTAACAACAGCATCAACTTTGGCCAGGGTGTCTTCAGTTTTTTGTGGAGATACTTTATTTTGTACTGTCACTAACGTAGGACAATTATCGGCTTCTTTAGTGCCATTGTTAACAAGGATTTTTTTCTCCTCAGCTTTTGGAGCTGCACTTACTGCTACTTTAATTAAAATAAAATTTTCCATTAATTAAACTGATCAATTATAAATCAACTACTATATTTAAAAAAAAATTAATTAAAGAAATAAAATAAAATAAATTAAAAAAATAAAATAAAATAAGGTGCGCAGTAGCCTATCGGATCCGGTCCTTGCCTACCAAAGCGTTGGACCGGGTTCGAGTCCGGCGTACACCAATGAATATTTTCAATATTTAAGTGTATTATACTGCTCAGCCCAAGAAATAAAACGAGTTCCAATCTCAAAAGTTTACCCCCTACCGTAGTCGCTCATGACCTTAGTAGTTTATGCGACTTTAAACAAATTAAAAAAAAAAAAAAATAAAATAAAATAAATTAAAATAAATTAAAGAAGTGCTTTAAAAGTCAATTTTCAGAATTTTTAATGTAATGTAACTTAATTTAATTTAATTTAAAACATTTTAAAAATCCAAAATCTAAAATTTAAAATATAGTAAAGATTGATATTAATAATAACATGAAATAATTAAGTAACAAGTGGCGCTAGAACCAGAGCTTTAATTATTTAATAAGATGCAGATTAATATAATATATAACGCTGTGATTAAAAATTGTAAAAAGCAGTTTTTACTGTTGTAAAATGTTAAATAAATCTATCTAAAATAAATTGAAGAAATAAAATAAAATAAATTTATAAAAAAATAAAATAAATAAAAAAAAAAAAATTAATAAATACACACCAGAACTTTCAATAACCGCAGATGATTGTGGTTCAGATTTAATATCATCTTGACTTCCAGTAGATGAGCTCTCAGGACTAACATTATTATTTCTATTAGCCTCTTGACTTTGTTTAGTCTGTAGATTAGATTCTTGATCAACAGGTAAACCTGCCCCAGGAATTTTAACAGCCACCTCAACTCCATTGTGAGTAGACTTATTATCCGTCGAATCACCAGCCTCCTTCTCTCTCTCAGCCGGCACATTAATATTACTACCCGGAGTGACTGATGACGGCTGTGCTGATGCTGACTGATTATAAGGTGCTGACGTCGGATAAACTTGTGACCTATGATCCTGGACCAAGCTGAGCGGCTGGCTAGCCGGTTGGAGTGTAACGTAACTCAAATTACCGCCACTCAATGGTTTCATTGAACCTGGGTCACCTCCAGGCATTACTTTTTGGGCCATGACATTCATCGGTAGCATCGAGTGTCCCGACGAAGGTGGTGTTGTTCCAACTCCTGGCATTGTTGATGTGCTCATATCCTCTGTGTGCCTCTCTCAGACACTAACTCTGTAAAATTAAGCACAGCACTCAGTATACCTAATAAACTAACCAAAAAATTTTAAGTATCAGATCAGAGAAACACAATTACACTCCAATATGTTTTATGAATTTAAATTGTTAAAATAAAATATTTTATTGTAAAAAAATGAAGGAGGAACGTACGATAATTATGATTAATTTGATTTGGATAATTATAAGTATTTAATTATTAGATAAAGATAACAATTAGAGTGTTATGAAATGACCACGACATTGGCGGCGGGAAGCGGAGGTGGCAGAACAGAGTAAACATAAACATGAATCATATATTTTTCGCCATATATACAACCAATAAATATTCTTGGGTGAAAATAAAATCAATATTGTTAATACAAATGATAAATAATAGTAATAGATATATAGGTTAGTGATAATGATGTGTTACCTTTGACAAAATAGTTACAAAAATAAGCGCAGGTGAATGATGTTAATGTTATATGATGATGTTGCTTCGTAGTTGTTGGCTACGATCTAGCGCCACGGTTAACTCATCTTCTACGTACAGAAAAATTTTCCCGCGTATAATTCCCGCTTACCAGCTACCATATAATCAGGTTACTAACATACATTATAATAAATAACAATTATTATTATTTTAACACTACTATTGTTGTAATAAATATATATTATAATGTTATAATGCGTTTTAACAATATGATTTGTTATAGATTAACAACTACTCTTAACGCACGAAAAACACAGACAAGAATGCCAGGACGTTAGATGGCGTCGGTCATCAGACGCCGTACGTAACGCGATTCGCTTTATACGCGGCGCGACTTAATTGCGAATAAATATTTTCATTGGTTATCATTTGTCATTATATTTATCTTCCGATTGGAGGATTGTCATTTGTGCGCTGGCCAATCGTGATATGGATACAAGTGAAATTAATTAAGGGATACCAATCTTAGAAATTTTTATGTCAATAAATTTTATTTTATTTTATTTTAGACAACTGAAGTTTTGACAGATATTAGAAATTATTTTATAGCAATTAAATTATTTTTAAAAAAATTATTAAGTAGTGAAAGTTTTTAAAGGTATTTTTATTAGGTAATTTTAAAAAATTTTTTAAATTAACAGCTAACTGCTAACTTCAGTATCATTTTTATTCTAAGAATATTTTTTTTACAATTATTTTTAATATAATTTTAATTATGATACTGAATTTGAGCAAGAAAATTTTATTTAAAAACTCCATCTTTAGAAGCTCTAAAAAAATATAAATGAAATTTTTATAAATAATTTTCTATACCTAGTTTATTTTTAAAGAAAAATCAAAAAATTGTTAAGTGTCTGCTAATTTCAGTCTTGATTTTAATAATATAAAATGTTTATTATTGTGAAAGTATTTTACTTTTTTTCAACTAAAATAAATTTATCAAGCAAATTTATGATAGTGATTATTGAATTGTTAAAAAAAATCTGAAAATTCACAATGTTGAAGTTAATCGACGATTTTAATTTTTGGATTTTTTTTCAATAATTAAATTAGAACAAAAGAATATTTTTAAAAAAAATTGCACTTACAGTTTTTCAAGTTTTTTACAAATGTAATTTTTTTTTTTATTTTTTTGTAATAATTTTTTAAATAAAAAAATGATGAAAATGAAGTTAGCTATCATTTCAAAATTTTTAGAAATTTTTTATTGAAGAAATTTCAATTAAACAATTAAAAAAAAAATTTCACATGTAAAAAATTTGAAAAACTACAAGTGCAATTTTTTAGAAATATTTTTTTTAGTTGTAATTTAATTTAAAAAAAAAATCAAAAATTTTTAGATGTCGGCTAACTTAATTTTCATAAAAATTCTTAAAATAACAACAATAAAAGACATGAAAAATAAAATTTTAGAATTTTTTAGATAACATACCGACAATATGTCAGAATTTTATTTATTTTGTTGGTTCCCTGCGCGCAACACAATAATTTTTATTTCATTTTTATAGTCACAAATAAATTTCTTACTTGACTGGTTTTAATAAATTATTTTATTAAATTAATTAAATTTCTATTAATTATAAATAAATAATTAATAAAAAAAAAAAAAAAAAACAGATATTATTTAGAACTGCGTAATTCACAAGTAGCGCCATCTTGATTAAATATATAAATCAACATGTCAAATATGATGATAATAAAATTTCTTAAAAACTGAATTTACAATTGACCTGATATTTGTTTATTTATAACCTAATATTTATAAAAAGTATTTTTAATTAATTGAGAAATTACTGAGGAGGTAATAAAAGTAAGTGTCATTTTTTTATGAAAAATTAAAACTTCATCTGAATTAAGTAATTGAAGTCGTCATTGTTAATCATCAACTGGGAAGTAATAAAATCTGAGTAAGTAAAAAAAATCAAGTTTGACTGAAGTATTATATATTAAAAAATTAAATATCAATTTTTCTGTAGATAAATGATGAACATTCCGTCAATGCAACAGCAAGGTGGTATGGCGATGGGCCAAATGCCGCAACCAACAAACCCCCAGATGGCCCCGAATCCTCAGCAAGCTCAACAAGTCCAGCAGCAGGTCCAGCAACAAACCCAAGAAAAACTCGATAATATTTCAAAAGTAAAGTCTCTTATTGGTCCACTCCGAGAATCTCTTGTAATAGCACTGAAAACTGCGGCTCAAACCTTGACTCAGAATAGCCTAGTGGACGTCGGTTCATCAAAAAGTCCGGATTCTGATCACCGTTTTAATAAAAATATGGAAGAATTTTATTCCATTTGCGATCAAATAGAGCTACACTTGAAAACATCCATCGAATGTTTATCGCAAAATGCCAGCTCCGTTCGGTATTTTCCAATGCCAGTAATACCGACTCGCACCGAGGCTATTCCAGCACAAGAAGGACCAGCTTTATCATACCCACAGTTCTTGATCACTGTAAAAGCTCAGGTTTCATTTTTACGTGAAATTCATGATGCACTTGTCGCTGCATCGAATTCTTTAAATAGTAATGAATAATTTTAGATAGTTCAATTCAATTTATAGATAATCAAATCTTATTAAATTTAATTTATTTATCATGATACTGGAGTTAGCGGACATCTGACAATTATTTGAATTTTTATAACAAATCAATTATTATAAAAAGAATATTTTTAAAAATTCACACTTATAATTTTTACAATTAAATTGTTATAACAATCTGAAAAATTGTTAGATGTTTGTTAAATTCAGTATCATTAATTATCATATACTTATTAGGGTGCGGCAAAATTTAATCTCTGAGAGCAACCTCTTAAAATTGGAATTTCGAGATCCACTTTCAACAGGCGCTGTGTTTGGGCATTCCCTGATATATTTTGGCGTGTAACAATTTAATTAATTTTCGCATTATTTTTTAACATGAGCTTCGTTTGGCCAAATTTTGAAATTTCAGCACAAATACTTAAACAAAGCTCTGGTTAAAAAATTTTGTGAATATCAAATAAATCGTGACACTAAAATAGAGTAGAAGTACCGTTTTTTGGCCAGTTAACATTTGAATTAATTTATAAAAAATTATAATATTATAACCATATTTTTGTTGAGTTTTAAAAAATTTATATTTAAACAAATTGAGTTTGTAATGGCAAAATTTTTATACCTAATTTTTTTTAATATTGCTGCATTTTTTATAACTTTTAGACCTTAATTTCAAGTATTTTTTTTTTTTAAATATTTATATTCAAGTATTTTGTATTCATAAATCAAATTTTTCATCAATTTGGTAGGCAAACTTTTTTTTGATAAGAATAATTGAAAAAAATTTCTAAATGTTAGTTACTGTGTTTTGAAATTGGGCAGCCGAACTCCTGTTAAAAGCAGAACTCAAATACTAATACTTATACTACCAAGGTTCATTTTTGAATGAGAACAGATTTTCATATAAATTTAAAGTAAATTAATTTTGATAATGTAACAGCAATAATGTATAATTCAATTGTTTTTGTTTTAATTTTTTCAACATTATATTTAGTTTTATTAAAGTTTATTTATTGGAATGCCGACTATTGAAAAATATTGAATTGAATATTATTGCTTATTTCTTAACATTATATTGTATGCAACAAAACTTTTAAACAATTTATTTACTTTTTGATAAGTACGGATATTTTAAGTGTAATTAAAAATATAATTACAGTTAATATTACCCGTAAAAAAAAAAAAAAAAAACTTATATTTTATGAAAAAAAAGTATCTGTAAATAGGGTGAAAATTAAATAAAAATTTTTTTCTCAAATAAAAAAAAATGTTATTAATGCATACTTGATAATTAAAAAACTTTAAATCGCACTGAGTTATCCGGTATAATTTTTCTAAACAATACACAAAAAAACTCGTACAATTTATTAATCCAAATAACGGTATTAAATATGCTAATTACTAATTTAATATGTGTCTATAAATATCATAAAAATATAAATAAAATTTTTTAGACTCCCAACTTATGAATAATTAACAATAAATAAATGTAAATAATTTTTAATTGTAAAAACAGATATTATCGTATTAATAGCGATAATAATGTGTATGACTAAATACTTCCATTTGTGGTATAAATGATTATTATCATCACTCGGTTGCTCAGCTAAGTAGCTGTAAGCTTTAACATCAAGACTGAACGAGTTAAGCATCAACAGCAATACCAGTAGCAGTACCAGTCTATAGCTGTTAATAATATAAATAAAAAGAGAATAAGTAGTTACAGTAGCACCCTAACGCAAGTACACAAGTGCAAATGGGTGGTATCAACATTAACAAGCGCTGTCACCGTTTAAATGGTTACATGAATAAAAAAAAATTTTTATGATCTTTTATACTTATAATAATAATAATAATAATAATAATAATAATAATAATAATAATAATAATAAAAATACATATGAATATATGTATATATACACCTGACATGAGTATTACAACTAGTGTTACAGTGTTGTATAGTTGCTCAAGCAAAAAATAGTGTGGGAGGCTGACCATAACGCGTTCTTCAGTTTATGAGAAAGCTAAATATCATTAGAAATAATAATGTAGCAAGATTTTATTTTATTTAATTTTTTATCAAAATTAATGTAGCAGAGATTTGATAATTTTTTTTAGAAGAAAATTATGGCTTAAAGTTTGAAACGGAGAAATTAAACAAAATTAAAAATTCAATTTTTTTAAACAAATTTGTTTGTTAAATTAAATTTAAAAATGGTCAACTACTAACTTTATGTAATTTTTTTATGGAAATTAATGTAGGTATAGAAGATATTTGACAATTTTTAGAATTTAAAAAAAAATAAATTAAAAAAAAAATTGATATTGAGAAATTAAAAAAAATTAAAAATTCAATTTTTTAGAAAAAATTTGGTTTTTAAATAAAATTTAAAAATGATTAAGTAACTTCTAACTTTAATCTTATTTTTGTATGGAAATTAATGTAGAAGATATTTGATAATTCTTAGAATTTTTTTTTTTAAATAAATTAGAAAAAAAATTGACATTTAGAAATTTAAAAAAATTAAGAATAAAATTTTTTTTTAAATAGTTTTTTAGAACAAATTTGGTTTCTTAAATAAAATTAAAAAATGATCAACTTAACTTCTAACTTTCATGTCATTTTTTTATGAAAATTAATGTAGAAGATATTTGATAATTTTTAGAATTAAAAAAAAAATTATAGCAAAAAAAACTGATACGTAGAAATTGAAAAAAAATAAAAATTGCAATTTTTTAGAAAAAATTTGTTGAATAAAATTAAAAATACCTAAGTAACTCCAAACTTTAAAATCATTACTTTTAAAATAATAAAATAGTACATTATTATTATTCCTATAATGTCTAAGTACATTTACCCATGCATGATTTATTTTTAAGAATAGTTTTTTATCTTACTTTATAACATATTAGTATTTATAAATATTTTTTTAAGTGTGCTATTATTAATATATCTTGCACACACAGTGCCATACAATATTCGTCGGTTATTATAACATCATTCTCTGAACGCAGCTTTAAGTAATAACGCTATTTTTATCAGTATATGTTGAACAAATATCTATCTATTTTAGTTTATGTCAAATGCGCCTTAATTTTCAATTTTTTCTAACCCACAACTTCTTATTAAATTATTTAACATAAAAATCCATATACTCCTATCATTTGTAGCGTATGGGCACTTGCATTGAATAAAGATCTGCATTGAATAAAATGAGTGTACATACGGAAGCTAAAAAAAAATCAGTATAAAGTTTCCTACTTTGTATACAAACAGCTGTCAGAGCTCCATGAGCTAGTAAATAACGTTAAAAAAATTAGTTGCTAGAGTAAATAATAGTTAAAAAAAAAAAAAAATATTGTTCAAGTGTAATAACAATGTTTATAGTAAAATAGTGTTAAATACTGGGGGGGCAAAGGCGTGCAGAAAGCTAACTGACAGTTGGATTGGTGTTTTGCCGCTGCGCGCCGTTCGACTATTCGAAAAGGAAGGACCACCTCTGTTCACCATATTTGGGAAACTTTTCCTAATATGGTAACGTCTACTTCTAAATATGGCAGCCGGGGACGCCCTCTCGCCGCCGAATGTGGTCCTCCGCGCAATATTTAAAACAGATCTTGTTAATTATCCAGCTGATATTTACAAAATTTTTTCACACCACAATTTTTTTTGTCGCCATTTAATTTTATTTAACAAAAATTTTTCACTTGTTTAATCTACACAATTAACTAAAATAATCAGTGGGAACTACTTTTCACAGCCGCGAGTTATCAAAGTGGGGGACAAGCGTGTGCTTGGACACGCGGAGGCACCACGTTCATACGTAGGTCAAGTTACGATACTCAATTGTCGTTCAGTTGGCGGGGAGCGCTCGTATGGTGCGCGTCGTTGTCTCGGTAATTGCCATAGATGGTACATCACGTGGCAATAACACCGGTGATATTAAAACGCGTTAATACAAAAGCTAATAATAATAATAATAATAATAATAATTAAAAAAAAAAAAATTTCAAATAAAAAATCAAGAAGAAAAAAGTATTTTATTTTTGAAACTGTCAGTTGAGAAAAATAAAGTTGAGTGTGTGTGTTGAAATAGCCACTCAGAGGCTAAGTTTAATAGATTAGATGTGCGCGAGTCCGTGATGGACAACTCCAGTGGCGCGAGGGACAGTCGTTACACGACACTTGGATATAACATGGGTATGATGGGTAGCGACACTGGCGCCGAAATGTATGGACGTCCGTCTACTTCTCAGCTGGCCGCAGCTTCACAGTTACGCAGTGGCGCCACCATGATGAATACTGGCGGTGGTGGTGCAGGGGCTGGTGGTGGTGGTGGTGCTAATTCTGGTGGTAATTCTAACGTAAACATGCAACGAGGGATGAAAAGATCTTCCTCAGATGTTTGTTATGATGACGGGAATGGACGTCAAAGTTTGTCTCAAAATCAGGGGATGGGCATGGGACCTGGTGACTGTGTTCCTGACAATCTTGATGACACTTACACAAACCTGGGTGCTCCTAAAAAATCACCCCCATCTAATGGCAAAAAGACCAAAGGACGTGTTAAAATTAAAATGGAGTACATTGACAATAAATTGAGGAGGTACACGACATTTTCTAAGAGGAAAACAGGAATTATGAAAAAGGTTGGTATTTATTTATTTAATTGCTATAATACTGAAGTTAGCTGACAATTGTAGCTGATCAATTTTTTTAATTTTTATTACAAATCAATAACAATAAAAAAAATGTTTTTAAATTTTCACATGTGAAATTTTTTTATTAAATTTTTTTCATAATAATTTTGTTGATAAAAAAATTCTAAAAAAATTTCTAATGTCTGTCAACTTCAGTGTCATTAGTTGCTAAAATTATAAGCATGTAGATTTAAAAAAATGGTTGATAAAAAATAATTTCTAATCATCATATTAATTAATTGAAATTATTTTAGGCGTACGAGCTGTCAACTTTGACTGGGACCCAAGTAATGCTGCTGGTGGCCAGTGAAACCGGTCACGTGTACACATTTGCGACGCGCAAACTCCAGCCGATGATAACGAGCGAGGCGGGAAAGGCGCTGATTCAAACGTGTCTGAACAGTCCGGATCCACCGCCGTCAGGCTCGTCAGGAGACCAGCGGATGTCAGCGACGGGGTTTGAGGAGACTGAGCTGACGTACAACATCGCTGATGATGAGCAGAAAGTAAGGCAACTGGTGTACGGCTCACCCCACGGGGGTGCTTTACACGGCGGGTATCCGGGGGCGGGTTCCCAACACGGGCCACCCTCCCACGGTCAGCACTCACAGCATGCACATCTGATAGCGCATGCACACGCTGGCTCGCCAAGCTCCCATCTGGTACCGTGCTCGAGTCCCGGGCCGCTCTTAGCCGGTGGACCTTATCAGCAATCGTGTCCGTCGCCGTTGCCGCCCCCGCACGCTACTTATCATCCCCATATGTCGCACTCGCACCCACAACGGTAGTTTTTGTTTTTTTAATTCTCGCACACGGTTTTTTTAAAGTTTAGTTAGGAGTTTTATTTTATAAATTCATTCATTTTTTTTTATTAATTCTAGATGATTATTGAGTTTATAAATTATTTACGTGGTGCTATTATTTAAGTGATTGGTGTTTTGCTGTAAAATTTATTACTCACGGCTGATTTACTTACGAGGCTAAAATAAAAATTGTCATTAGTGATGTATGAGTCGCGGAATTTATCCACGGCTGTTTTTTTTTTTTTTGTTAATTCGTGATGATTTTTATTGCAAGCTGAACTTCCAATTGAGATTATTATTTTTATTATTAATTATTTTTTTTTTTTATTCTTCACTGAGAAAAAAAAACGTACTACTCTTGAGAAAATTTTATGAAAATAAAGTTAGCTGACATTTAAAAATTTTAATGATTTTTTTTTTATTCAAGAATTATTACAAAATTTTTCCATTTGTTAAAAACTACAAAAAATATAAGTGCAATTTTTTAAAAATATTTTTTAGTTATAAATTGAGCAAAATAAAAATGTCGGCTAACTTTATTATTATAATTTTATGAAAATAAAGTTAGCCGACATTTAAAAATTTTTATGATTTTATTTATTATAAAATTATTAAAAAAAAAAAATAAAAATAAAATTTGTTAACTTGTTAAAAATTTCAAAAACTATAAGTGCAATTTTTTAAAAATAGTTTTTAGTTATAAATTAATAAATTAAATAAAAAAATCAAAAATGTCGGCTAACTTTATTATGAAAATTTTCTTGTCTCAAGAATTTATTTATTTATTTTTTTTTTTAATTCAAGTGAACCTATTTGTTTGTTAATCTATAATCTATCAAAATGAATGCCAATATTTTATTATCATGATAGATATTGATATTATTTTGTAAAAAAACCAAAATTTATTTTAAAAAATTCTTGAGTCAAGAAATTTTTTTCTAGACAAAAATTTTTTCTTTCTCAGTGTTGTAATACTTTTTTTTATTAGTATTTACGCGTCAAGTCCAAAGACAGTATGACAATACAACGTTATTATATTTTTTCGTCTAGACTCTAGAGAAAGTTTTTAAAATATGAGATCTATTTATTGACTGATATATCGGTCTTTAAATATAAATGAGCTAATGACATTTGGATAAATTGACTAAAACGCGTGTGATTTAATTGTATAGTTGTGTACACTGGAAATGATATTTATTTATGTGAGGTGAACCATATGGCTAATATTTATTTATATTTAAAAAGTTAGATAATTTTGTTACGTTGAACAATTATTAATTATTTAATTAGTTCAATTATCAAAGTGGTTTCACAAACATTTAAAAAAATTTTTTTTTGTCAGTGTACTTTGTTTTCAATTTTTTTTACTTTAATACTATATTATCACTTATTTTTAAAAATTATTTAAACAATATTTATTAACGTAATTACATATGTATATACGGAAGATTTTTTTTGGGAATCCAAAGCTGTATCGAGGATTCGATTTCTTAGGATAGCTCTAGGATTATTCAGTAGATATATTTTTTTCTTATTATTGTATTTAAATTATTTTAAATAATTGAAATTATTATACGTACTTTTCCGAAGGCAAAGCCAATTAATGACATTAAAACACCGTTTGTATACTGGGTGCGAGTACGATTAGGGTAAAACGAGTGTGGTGCACGCTTGAACGTTCCTACACAGTATTGTGCATCGTCATATTTTTTTATATATTTATTTTTTCATAAATTTGGCATTGTGTATTTTTTTTTTTGCTACTTTGGCATGTGTAGTTGGTTTGTTTTTTATTTTCTATTTTTTTTCTATAGCTTAAGCTATTTTTTTATTTTTATTTTATGTAATTTAAAATTTTTCAATGTCTTGTGGAATTAATTCCGTCCATGCACGCATAATTTTATCATTATTAAATTTAGCAAAAAAAAATTATCGCGGTGAGATTATTAAAAAAAAAAAGAAAATAATAATAATTAGATTTTAAAAATAAAAAAAAATCTCGTAAACCCTTGTATGTCCTCGTTAAACGAACAAAGTACAAAATAACGGCGGCTACTAATTTAAAATAAAATAAATAATAAAACTAGTTTAATTTTATTTGTTTTATAAAAGAGAATTTAAATGTTAGGTAAAAATTATAAATTTTTTTTACGCCTGTTATTGTATCACATGTGTACATATGTACTGTAAAATACTGTGATAATATTTATATATATTTACAATTATACAATTTTTCTTTAACAATACAACCGTAAGATTGGTTACAAAGCTTTACAATTTATTTTAAAAAAAAAAAAAAAAAAAAGAAAAACAACAATCAATAATTTGTTAATTTTTTTTTATTATTTATAAGAGATTGCTTTGCATTTGTGTTTTTATTATTATGGTTTTGAGTGAATGTAGCATAATGCATCCTATCCTAAAAAAAAACATATTCTTCCTGAATATTTATAAAGGTAGGTAAAGGTATTGCTTGTTTATCCTAGCTTTATAGTCCACTGAAATTACTCTTATGCGTTGTTCGAAGTAATTTTTGACTGAGATGTTTTTTGATAGAAAAATCGAGTACTACTCTTGAGAAAATTTTATGAATATAAAGTTAGCCGACATTTAAAAATTTTTATGATTTGTTTTATTAAAGAATTATTAAGAAAAAATAAAAAAAAAATTTTTTCATTTGTTAAAAACTTCAAAAACTATAAGTACAATTTTTTATTTATAAATTAATAAATTAAATAAAAAAATTAAAAATGTCGGCTAACTTTATTATGAAAATTTTCTTGTCTCAAGAATTGATCGAATTATTTTTTTTTTAATTCAAGTGAACCTATTCGTTTGTTAATCTATAATCTATCAAAATTAATGCCAATATTTTATTATCATGATAGATATTGATATTCTTTTGTAAAAAAATCAAAATTTATTTTAAACAATTCTTGAGCCAAGAAATTTTTTTCTGGACAAAAAATTTTTTTTTCTCTGTATTTTTCACTTTTTTAATATATTTAATATTTCTTTTAGTATATTTATATATATATATATAATATATATAACATGTTGTAATAAGCAATTATGGTGACATTTTTTTGCATTACCTCAAGTATAAACTAGTGAGTCTATTAGAGTTAGTCTATAAAAATGCTGTAGTCCCGCGAGACATATTATAAATAAATTTTTTTCTTCTCACCAGATAAAAGGGCAAAAATTTAATTTCGTCACACTCTGCGTACAATTCTAAATCCTCTTACGGATAAAAGTGATGTCTGTGATTGCTAAACTCCGGCCTGGAATTACATTATACGCGGTTTTACTGCCATAATGATTTTTCTATGCGGCTAACAACAATTAGCGGCGTAAGAAAAAAAAAAATAACTATTCGAATAGCAATCGTGCTAAAATGTTAGAGAGTTTTTTTTTAAAATAAAAAAGAGGCCGTGGCAAACGTGTTACAAACTTGTCTAATGATTAGAGAAGAAATAAAAATAATTAAAAAAAAATAACTTTAACAATTAATCATTATTTCTTCTTTTATTGGTCAACATTCAGTAAATTAATGAAACTAAATATTTTAAAAATTTATAGGGACGTTTTTTAATTTTATCGACTCGGCAATCTAGGATAAAATCTATAAATATATATAAGAATATAAGAAGCTCTATATATATATATATATATATATATATTTTTAATTGGAATAGATATTAACGAGTTAACAAGCTCACAAGAGATACTTGGGATGCAACGAAGCAAACGTAATATATAAAGTTTAATGTTAAATGTAAGCGTATGGTAGGTGCAACCAGGTGTGCAGACTAGTTGTGTGCGTAAAGAGACGTGTAAGGAAGGTAGAAACCAACCTCCTTATACGGTCACCTTTGTCAAAGCCGGCTTGGCTCCATATAGAGGCAATGTTTCTCGATGCCAAACACTCTTATATAGGAGTTACTTGTAAGTCGGGAATGCTACTTTTTATCGCAACTACTACTGTTACTACTACTGCTACCATCATCATCATCATCACCATCATCATAATCGTCACAATTATTGAAACTACTGATGGATTGCTGCTACTGCTCCAGAAGCTGGACCACAGGAAGATGCTTTTCGGGTTTCCAAGAATCAAGTCGCTTTATGATTGGTCGGATTCAAGTACCGTTGCTCTCTTTTAAGAGTCCAAGTGCTTTTTCTCCCTATTATATATGTTGAATTTAATCGAATGCCCTCGCTCACGTATTCATGAGCTATACATATATATCTGATCAGTAAAATATAGCACGCTTTTTTTGCTACTGAGAATCTTGAAGCATTCTGATGCATGTTGTGTGTTTTTTTTTGTTTTTTACTCTGAAGGGATTCCCCTAAAAATTCAAGCTTGCTTGGAGACTGCTTGGGCTTGTTTGCCGCTTTATTATTATTATTATTATTATTATTTGCAATCATAAAAACTAGGAAGTCGTATCAAATTGAAACTCCGTTTTTCAAATTTTTATTATGTAAATTATTTCTTCAGAAGAAATAAAAAATAATTAATGATTAGTCAATAAATATTTTAATAGTTTATCAATTAAATTAATATTTAAAAAATGACTTATCATTATTATTGTTATTATTATTATTAATATTATGACCAATCATAAAAACTAGAAAGTCAAATTGAAATTCTATTTTTCAAATTTTCATTATTTGATTTATTTTTTCAGAAGAAATAAAAAATTTATTTTCCATAAAAAATAATTAATGATTAATTAATAAATATTTCAATAATTTATCAATGAAATTAATATTTAAATAAAGCTTATTATTATTATTAATATTAATATTAATATTATGCTTAATCATAGAAAGCGGGAAGCCTTATCAGATTGAAAATCTGTTTTTCAAATTTTTTAATATTTAAATTAATGATTGGTCAATAAATATTTGAATAGTTTATCAATTAAATTAATATTTAAAAAATTATTTATAATAACAATGATAATAATTACTATTATTATTATTATTATTATTCCCAATCATAAAAACAAGGAAGACATATTAAATTGAAACTCTGTTTTTCAAATTGTTATTTTTTAAATTATTTCTTCAGAAGAAATAAAAAATTTATTTTCCATAAAAAGTAATTAATAAATATTTTAATAATTTATCAATGGAATTAATATTAAAAAAAATTATTTGTTATTATTATTATTGTTATTATTAACATTATGTCCAATCATAGAAACTAGGAAGTCGTATCAAATTAAAACTCTGTTTTTAAAATATTTTATTATTTAAATTAAATTATTTCTTGAGAAGAAATAAAAACTTTATTTTAGATAAAAAATAATAAATGATTTGTCAATAAATATTCTAATATTTTATTAATTAAATTAATATCTAAAAAATTATTTTCTTATTAATATAGTTATTATTAATATTATGTCCAATCATAGAAACTAGGAAGTCATATCAAATTTTTATTATTTGAATTATGTCTTCAGAAGAAATAAAAAATTTATCTTACATAAAAAATAATTTATGATTGGTTTATAAATGTTTCAATAGTTTATCAATTTAATTAATATTAAAAAAAAATTTTAGTCAAGAAATAAATATTTCAATAAATAATAACAAGAAGAAAAGTAGTAGGACAATTGATATTAAATAACTAAATTAAAAATTGGAAAAACAATGAATAAATATAAATATTAGTGTAAGGTTTATTAGTTACGGAAGCTATGATACTCTTGCAAGTAGTATTTGATGAAAGAGGGTAAACGTTGGCTGGTATAATCAGCAGAGCGTAAGCTCGTGAGAATTATTTGCTCCAAGTTTATACCGATGCATTGGGTCGAGCACGGATGACCTTATAAGGAGCGAACAAGGATGCATCTTTCTCCCCGCTAGTGTAGGTTACGCGTGCAGCACGTATGTTATACGCACACGTATCCGGGGGGACTCATTTTACCGATTCGTCAATTGCAATTCGCGAAAGTCATCTTTTTTATTATTGTTACATTTTATTATATCGATATAGATATATATAAGCACTAACGTACCACCCAAGACACACAAACACGATAATGATCGGTACATCTGTCATCGCATTATTAATTATACTTTAGTAAAAACAAGTGTATTAAAATTACTAACTTTTTATTGTAAATATACATTATCTTTAATGTTTATTATTTTTTACGTTCAAATTATTGACAAATTGATAACTATTAAAATATTTTACGGTCATTTTAAGAGGATTAATTAAAATTCTTATTATATCTTCTTTTTTAATTGCAGGAAGAAACAGCATCCCCGAGATCAGATATTTGTGCCAATGACAGTGAGGGTGATTCCAGTGATGGCGAACCTACTGACACTAAGCCACCGTTAAAAAATCATCCAGGTAATTTACATATATCCATATTTATTTATTGAATATATTAATACTTTAATAATAAGTTTTTTATTATTTTTATTTCTTATTGTTGTAGTTGGTTAATAATTTATTAAGAGACGGCGGTATAATGAAAAACAATTGACAATGTGTATTGGAAATGAGTTTTTATTATTATTATTATTGTTGTTTTTATTGTTATTGTTATTATCACACATCAGTATCTTTAAAACTTTATTTATTTACATTTATTTTTTATCTTTCTTCATTTTTTTAATTTAATTATTATTATTATTATTATATCACAATAATAATAATAATAAAATTTCTTAAATAATAATTTAATTGATAAACTATTAAAATATTTATTGACTAATCATTAGTTATTTTTTATCTAAAATAAATTTTTTATTTCTTCTGGAGAAATAATTTAATTTAAATGATAAAAATTTGAATTTCAATTTGACACGGCTTCCTTGTTTATATGATTGGGCATAATGTTAATAATAACGATAATAAATAATTTTTTTTAATATTAATTTCATTGATAAATTATTTAAATATTTATTAATTAATCATTAATTATTTTTCATCTAAAATAAATTTTTATTTCTTCTGAAGAAATAATTTAAATAATAAAAATTTGAAAAATAGAGTTTCAATTTGACTTTCTAGTTTTTATGAATGGTCATAATATTAATAATAATAATAATAATAATAATAAAAAGGATAAGTAATTTTTTAAGTATTAATTTAATTAATAAACTATTAATTAAAATATTTATTGACCAATCATTAATTATTTTTTATCTAAAATGAATTTTTTATTTCTTTTGAAGAAATTAATTTAAATTATATAAATTTGAAAAACAGAGTTTCAATTTGACATGGCTTACTAGTTTTTATGATTAGGAATAATAATAATAATAATAATAATAATAATAATAATAATAATAATAATAATAATAATAATGAAATTAAAAATTTTAAAAATGAAGAAAGATATAAAAAATGAATGTAAATAAATGAAGTTTTGAAGATACTGATGTGTGATGATGATAATAATGATAAAGAAGAATATATAAAGTAGATGTATATTATAAATAACAATAAGTAAAAGTGAATGTGAGTTATCGTGTTAATAGAATTAAAGTCTGGGTAACCGAACTGTTTAAAATCGTTAGAGTAGAGTAGTACTATCTTGACTTGGGGGTACTTAGAATGCGAAAAACGTGCGAGCGATGACGGGGTTGCCCGTGTAGGGGAGTAAGTAATGTAAGGAGTCGTACGGTTCACGATGACCAAACTAAGACGACAACGCGATTCCAACTTGGGAAGTAGGATCCGGTCGAAAGCCGCATTTGATGCAGGTGTACACATAAATATCGATGCTAATATACAGGAGAGACGACGTGGATCTCCAGGGTACGACGGTACTACTGCAGTTTGCGGGTACTACACTTACTGGATGAGTTGAGTGTTCACCAGGCAATGAACACGTTCGGTTATCTTTAACTGTCTGAAATGCCATGTTCATTTTATTGGATGCCACTTTTTATTAACGCGAAATGCCAAAGACTGCTTATTGCTTATACTCAACCTTATCCCTCTCTTTCGCTCTTACTAACATTATTACTTCTGTACTAACCTAATGAATACCAAATATTTATTTATATGGATGTCTTTTCATCGCTTTTTAACTTAACAATACATCTTATCTTCGTTATTTATTATTATTTCTCATCCTGATACCATCAGTATATAAATTTATTCTTTATTTTTGAATATTCATTTAGAGGTACTGTCTCTCATCACTTCTTTAAGTACACTCGATTTTTAACTATTTTTTGCGCGTCGACATAAACTTTCTCAAAAAAAACATTAAATTAAAATTAATTAAACTGATATTTAATAATTTTTTTAATAAATAAATTATGTCAAAAAAATTGACATGTAGAAATTTTAATAAATGAAAAATGCAATTTTTGAAAAAAAATTTTTTGGAACAAATTTGTTTGTTAAATAAAATTAACTTTAATATCATCAAAAACCCTTATTACTTTTTATTGATATTAATCTATATTATTAAAAGAATAAGAAAAATTTTGTGTCCAAGATAGTCATATGATGAAATCCGTTTTTTTAATTAAATATAGTGTCAATACAAAGGTCTTGACTTAAATTTGTGACTTTTTAAGGTTTCATATCATTCTCACCGATAGTCAATTTATGATGATAAGTATTTAGGCTGCATTCGAAAATACTCTATCTTTAGATACATAATTAAGAAATAACCCTGTATCTCGTGAACTGATGATATTTTTAAAGATATAAGCTCATCCTGATGTTACACTCATCGAGACCTTTCATTTGAGTACCCACATCAATTTTTCATATATTTATATATTTTATATATATATGTATATATGAAAAATATATCAAAAATGCATGTGGGTATTCAAATGAAAGCTATTGATGAGTGTAACATTGGGATGAGCTTATATCTTAAAAAATGTCAATAATTAACAAATGACCTTGTATCTTGTGAATTATTGACATTTTTAAAGAAATAAGCTCATTTCAATGTTACACTCATCGAGACCTTTCATTTGAGTACCCACATCAATTTTTCATATATTTTCTATATTTATATATATTATATATATGTATATATGAAAAATATATCAAAAATGCATGACGGTACTCAAATGAAAGCTATTGATGAGTGTAACATCAGGATGAGCTTATATCTTTAAAAACGTCAATAGTTAAGAAAGTACAGTGCAATTTAACAAAAGTCATTATTTAATAAAGCTGAATTCTAGTTATTTATAATTCACAAGTCATGGCAGTCACGTAGTGACTGCAAGGTTGCTTGTTACTGATTAATATTCTTATTTTTTACGACTTGTTCATCATTAAATTTTGTATTTTAACTCTGAATCAATTATATATTTACCTGATGCTTAGAATTAATGCTAGAAATTTTTATAATTGTTATTAGCAAGAATTTTAATCATTATAGAAAAATAATTAGTGTTTAATTTTTATTTTTCATTAAATTCCCTCTAAATTTACAATTAAAGTTATTATAATTAAACTTGGAAGAATTAAAAATTTTAGTTTCTTTTATTTAGTTATATCACTTGTACATAAATTAAAAAAAAAAATATTGTAATTTTAAAATTATTTTTGCGCAAAATTACTTTGTAATTCAGAATAAATTTAGACTGTATTTGATATAAAAAAAATAGAGTAAAAGCTTAAGAAATAAAATGAAAGTGTTTTTCGTTTTAATTCTTCATCCGCTGTCTAATTTTAAAACCTAGTAACAGCGAAATTTTTAAGAGCTTATATTTTTTCTTAAACTTTTGCGGTTCATATTTTTAGCACATATCGTTTGACAACTAAAATATTTTCGTTAAAATTTTTTTTTAATTGAAAAATAAGTATCTTTTTTTGCAAGATTACTTTTATAAAATTTAACACGATTCAGCTGCTGGATTTAAAATTAGGTATTTCTTTTTTGCGACAAAATATTCTACTAATATAATTTTAATTTTGTAATTTACAATTATAACTTTTTTTTTTAAATAATTTTTTGTAAGTTGCAAAAAATTTTTACGTCAGGAATTTGATATAAGTAATTAAATCAATAAGACTGCAATACTTTTTTTTTAATTAAACAATACAAAAGAATAATAGACCTAAATGTGTAAAAAATTAAATGTAATTTTCCGAAGTTTTTTGTTTGATTTTGAAATAAGACGTTCCAATTAAAATATGTAAGGATTACATTGAAGCTAATTAGACAAACATTTTGTAATTGTTGCGATTTTATAAACTTTTACCTACGCAAGTATTATTAATGTGTAGAAAAAAATTTCACTCAAGTGTAAATGTACTTATTCAGCCTAAATGTTTTGAATTATTACCACAAATAGAAAAATAGTATCTTAAGAAAAAAAAAAAAAAATTACTTGGTAAGAATATTTTTTTTTTTTTTATTTAAACTCATTTCCAAAGAACATTAATTTTTTTTAATTGTAATTATTATTATTAATATTATTATTATTAAAAAAAATTCAGTATGATTTTAAAGAATTTTAAAAAGTTATAAAATGAAATTAAAGAAGTTCTATTGTATAAAAATAGGTCTGTAAATTTCTTGAGATAAATGCCCTACTTTCACAAAATAAATAAATTAAAATAATAAAGTTGTTTTTGTGTGTTGATCGAATTCTTAGGAGGAATGCCGGCCTTTTCAGCGGGGATAATGTACCAAATGCCTCAAAATGTTATGTATTCGCCAAGTTCTGGAGTACTATTAAGTATTGGACAAAACGGGCAACCTGTTCAAATTTCATCAGACGGAAGTGAGTTATCATTATGACCGTTCTACGTGTTATCACGTACGTACAATATACTGTCACCGGAAGTTCCATATTTATATTTTAAATGTTTCATTAATTTTAATTCCTCTCTGGGTGTATACCTATTGTTTTGTATATACACTTTTAATTACAATTACTACACGTAAATATTCACATATTTATATTTGTACTATAGCATCAACTAGAGTTTATTATTTTTTACTGTAACTGCAACTGTTTATACTGTCTTCTGGTTATTTTTACGTGAGAAATCATCCCTTTTATGTTGTAATTTAGACAAAGGCGTGTCTCTATTTGCCTTTTTCGTAATTACTTCTTGTGACCTTAAAATACAATCAACATCGCCATCACCATTTATAATAAATTGTAAAAAATTTTTAGACAATACCTTCATTGTTAAAATAAACATTTTTTTTATTTTTACAGTTATTATTATTAATTTGTTATTTAAATTATTTCTTCAGAAGAAATAAAAAATTTATTTAAGTAAAAAATAATTAATTATTTGTCAATAAATATTTTAATAGTTTATCAATTAAATTAATATTTAAAAAATTACTCATCATTATTATTGTTATGACATAATTAAGAAATGACCTTGTATCTTGAGAACTATTGACATTTTTAAAGATATAAGCTCATCCCGATGTTACACTCATCAAGAGCTTTCATTTGAGTACCCACATGCATTTTTGATATATTTTTCATATATACATATATATTATATACATAATATATAAATATATGAAAAATTGATGTGGGTACTCAAATGAAAGGTTTCGATGAGTGTAACATCAGGATGAGCTTATATCTTGAAAAATGTTAATAGTTCACGAGATACGAGGTCATTTCTTAATTATGTTAAATTGCACTGTACTTTTTTAACTATTGATATTTTTAACGATATAAGCTCATCCTGATGTTACACTCATCAAAAGCTTTCATTTGAGTACCTACATGCATTTTTGATATATTTTTTATATATACATATATATTATATATAAATATATGAAAAATTGATGTATCCTGATGTTACACTCATCAAAAGCTTTCATTTGAGTACCTACATGCATTTTTGATATATTTTTTATATATACATATATATTATATATATATAAATATATGAAAAATTGATGTGGGTACTCAAATAAAAGGTTTTGATGAGTGTAACATCGGGATGAGCTTATATCTTTAAAAATGTCAATAGTTCACGAGATACGGGGTCATTTCTTAATTATTGACATTTTTTAAGATGTAAACTCATTTTGATGTTACACTTATCGAGACTTTTCATTTAAGTACCGACATGGCGTTTTTTATATATATGGTATTTGTGAAATATATAAATATATAAAAAATTGATGCTCATTCTCTTAATAATATAAATTAATGAAATTAATATTTAAAAAAAATTATTGTTAATTAATCTTTAAAAAATTATTTATTGTCATTATTAAAAAAATTTTTATTTGTTTACAGGCACATCGAATATCAACAGCGGGCAATCTAATCAACCATTTATTACAATTCCCTTACATCCTTTAAACGTTTCGATGAGTAGTCGAGGACTGTCATTGCCAGTTACATCTAAGGCTTTATCACCACCTTGTTCGATAGCATCAACAGATGTCAATTCAGATATGCCTTCAGATCTCAGTAAAGATCGTAAATGATAGTACCTTTTTTATTCTGGGTATAATAAATGAATTCATATACATAGTTTAATTAACGTTTAGTTTCTTTTTTTTTTTTTGCTGCAATAATAATTAATTTTTATCAAGATCAAAATTTAAAACTGATATTTTTTTTTATCAATATTTGTATAAATTTTTGATAAAAGAAAATATATTTTTATATTTATTGATTTAATTAATGGTATTAAGAAATGTATTTGTTAAAAGTTACTCAAAAATATTTAACTAGTCACTGTTCAACAGTAAGCGATAATTTTCTTTAAAATTAATTAATTAGTTATTTTTAATAAAACAAATTTATTGGTTCATATTTAATTAACAAATATTGAGCCTTAATAATTCGTTGATAATTTAATTAATTTTTTTTTATGATCTCTTACTAGTTAGTTAACAATTTAGTAACTTTATGTTTTGAAGAAATAAAAAGAAGCATTTTTTATTCATTTTTATTTATTATTATTATAAAAATAAACCAATGAATCGACTGTTGTAATTTTTTTTTTTTTTTTTAGTATTGTAGAAATTTTTAATTAAGGGGGATAGTCACTGTGAGGATCGGAAAAATAGGTGATTTTCGGGAATTTTTTTGACTGGGATAATAAAGGAATTGAGGATACATTGAAGATCATTCTTCTAAATTTTGATTAAAAAATACCATATTGTTACAAAGTTATAAGTATTTTTGTGGAGCACCAAAAAAATTTTCACCACGGTGGGATCTCTAACTCAAAAACGGATTATCTAAAACAAAAAAACCAAACTGCGTTGTAATCTGCATGCATGTGGTTATCGTTCCACATAGGGGATTTTTAAAATTTGGATTTAAAAAAAATGACGACATAAAAATTTTTATGACACTGAAGTTAGCAGACGCCTAAAAATTTTTGATTTTTTTTATTAATTCAATTACAACTAAAAAAATATTTTTAAAAAATTCCACTTATAGCTTTTCAAGTTTTTTACATGACAATTTTTTTTAATTGAAATTATTTTTTCAATAAAAAATCTTTAAAAATTTTGAAATGTCGGCTAACTTAATTTTCATAAATTTTTTCGTTTTTTTTTTTCTCATTTTACAGATCCCACCAGTTAAAAAAAAAGTAGTTTGGAGAAAAACGCGTTTTCCTCGGAGCGCCGCACGTGCAATGGTCATTTAACGCTGTCACAAAAATGACTATAACTCGAAAAATATTCGGAATTTTCATATAAAACTCTAGATACATACTTTTGAATATATAAACTTTGATAGAATAAAAAAAAATTTTTTTTTTTTAATTTCACAGTGACTATCCCCCTTAAACTTACGATTGTTTGTTATAACTTATAACAAATAAGTGAGTAATGTTATGCCTTAAAAATTCTAGTGAAATTGTCTATTAACCGCTATATATACTATTGTATATATATTTATAATATTTATATAGTTATGCGCCATTATATACTGAAGCATTATTTTTAAAGCAATAAAAAAATCATATCAATTTATTTATTTTTTTGATTGATCAAAATTATGAAAAATGTAGATTTAAAAAACTAATGTTAAAGAATTCGAGTGGTAAAAATTATATTAAAAATAAATATGTACAGTTTTTCAGACGTATATATTTTATATACATAAAAATAAATAATTGTAATGTTTTTTTATGATTTACCATAAAGTGTTTGTATAACAATTTGATAATTCATTAAAAATAATATGTTATGTAATGACTGATTTTTTTTTATTTAAGTAGTTAGTTGCTTTAGAAGTATTTATATTTATTTTTTAGATTATGATTTTTTTGCTGATCATAAATTTTTAAAAATTAAAAATTGCTTTATAGAATCATATATCTTTTACAGCTGATTTAAGTTATGCAGGATTTTTTTTAATTTTAGCTTCTAAACCTAAAACTGGAATATCTATAAATCTTTTTATTACGAGCTTATAATTTAAGATTATTTTTTGGCACACAGAGTTTTAAGTTAACGTCCAGTAAATATAAATATTTATATCAACTAGTTTGCGAATTATTAAAGTCTTTATTTTTATAATAGTATTTCAGTAGTCTTCTCTTTGAAGAATTTTTATAAAGTAGTGTAAATATTTAAACAAACAATTATTTTGCGTTTAATGTTCTTAAGATTAAAAAAAATTTTTTTATGTTATTTGAAGTAAATAATTGTACAATTTTATTCAGTTTAATTTTAAATAACTTAAAATCTTCTGAAATTTACAATAATATTTAATAATTTTTTATTATTGATTAGAACATTAGGTTATTAAAGATTGTATAAAATTATCAGTAATATCTTCTGAATTTCATTAAAAAAATTTTTAGAGGTAATTAAAAAAGTAAAACCTATAAAAATACATTTACTACGGCCTAGCTTAATTATCCAATTACAAAGTAAAGATTATTACAATTAAAAAAAAAAAAATTGATGTCATATATCTATATAAATAATTATGACACTGCAATTAGCAGAAGTTTAACAATTTTTAATTTTTTTTTGTTTAAATAATAATCAACAAAAATAATTTTTATAAAATTGCACTAGTAGTTTTTTTAATTTTTTATATTCTAATTGATTTTTTCATATTCTGGTTTTTTATAAAAGTTAAAAAATTATGATAATTAATTTAGGAGATATTTAATAATTTTTAGAATTTTTTTTCAACAAATAAATTATGGCAAAATGAATTGACGCGTGTAGAAATTTTAAAAAATTAAAAATGCAATTTTTTAAAAATAATTTCTTAGAACAAATTTTTTTATTGAGAAAAATAAGAAAAAAAAAAATTAACATTCAGACAATCAAATAAATAAAAAATGCAATTTTTTTGAAATAATTTTTTAGGACAAATTTTTTTATTAACAAAAATTAAAAAATTCCCTAGTGACTGCTAACTTTAATGATGGAAAAAATTGACAGTTTTCAGCTGACTTCAATATCATAATTATCACAAAAATTTATAAATTCACAAAAATTGAAAAACTTTGCAACTGTAATTTTAAATGAAAATTAATTTAGCAGATGTTTTATAATTTTAAGAATTTTTTTAACAAATAAATTTTGTCAAAAAAAAATAAGAAAAAAAAATTGACATTTAGAAAATTAAATAAATAAAAAATGCAATTTTTTATAAATAATTTTTCGGAGCATATTTATTTATTAAAAAAAAAATTTAAAAATGGTCAAACGACTGCTAACTTTTCAAAAACGTAATTGATCAACTTGAAACTGGTAAAGATGGCGCTTGTTTCATAGGGACACTTAATTTTCATAGAAACTTTAGCGTCGTCATAAATGAAAACAGCCATAACAGATAAATTTGAATTTAGTTGTTAAAAAACCGTTACATACCATAATCAGAAGCGTCGTCAGACTTGCATAGTGATACTGTTTATTCCTTCCCGCGTATTTATATTAAATTAATTTATCAATATCAGTCACTGTTTTAATTACCCTTTTTTTATTGTTGTCGATTATTATTTCAATGTTTGATAAACATCCGGCATTAGTTATTCGCTGTCACGATGTTTTTCCAAGTAAGTTTATAAACTCTAAATATAACCATCTTAACTAACTTCTAAATAGTTATGAAATATTAATTTTATATTAAATCTGATTGATAATTTATAATAAATAATTTATATTAATATTTATGAGTTTTTCATGATTATTTATATTTTATTTATTTTAGGTTAGTATAACTCCCAAGGCAAAAGAACCGGCAGAACCAACTAAAGATGTTCAGGAACCACCACCAACTCTCATTTTAGCCCCGTTTCAACCTCAGGTTCACATTAATCTTAAAACAAAAGTCAATACATCAACATCGGCTAAATTGTTGATTACCAATCCTTCCAATAGACCGCTAATCGTAAGTCGAATTTTATTTCTTAATAATAACAAGAATAACTAACAGATAGAAAATTTGAAAAATTATACGTGTAATTTTTTCAAAGTATTTTTTTAATTGCTAACTTTTATGACATTTTTAATTTTTTTTTTTTTTTTTAATTTTCTAATTGCTTTTTGTCACATTTTTTCGTTGCATTTTTATTTATTACTGCACATTAAATAATTAATTACTAGCAACCTTCCAGTCACTATGTAACTGCCGTGACCTGTGAACTATATAAATAAATAAAATTTTGCTTTATTAAATAATGACTTTTGTTAAATTGTAATGAACATTAAGTTAGTCGACATCGAAAAATTTTTTTATTGAAAAAATCATTACAGAAAAATAAAAAAAAAAATCATTTGTAAAAAACTTGAAAAACTCTAAGTGTGTTTTTTAAAAAATATTTTTTAGTTCTAATTTAATAAATTAAAAATAGTCAAAAAATTAAAAACGTCGACTAACTTTAGTATTATTAAATTGCACTGTACTTTTTTAAATATTGACGTTTTTAAAGATATAAGCTCATCTCGATGTTACACTCATCAAGAGCTTTCATTTGAGTACCCACATGTATTTTTGATATATTTTTCATATACACATATATATAATATATATGAAATATATAAAAAGTTGATGTGGGTACTCAAATAAAAGGTCTCGATGAGTGTAACATTGAAATGAGCTTATATCTTTAAAAATATCATTAGTTGACAAGATACAATGTCATTTCTTAATTATTGATATTTTTTAAGATATAAACTCATTTTGATGTTACACTCATCAAGAGCTTTCATTTGAGTACCCACATACATTTTTGATATATTTTTCATATATGCATATATATAAATATATAAAATATATAAAAAATTGATGTGGGTACTTGAATGAAAGGTCTCGATGAGTGTAACATCGGAATGAGCTTATATCTTTAAAAATGTCAATAGTTCTCAAAATACAAGGTCATTTCTTAATTATGTATCTAGAGATAGAAAATTTTCGAATGCAGCCTAATTACTTATCATCATAATAAATTGACTATCGCTGAAGATGATATGAAACCTTGAAAAAGCACAAATTCAAATCAAGACCTTTGCAATGACACTAAATTTGACTAAAAAATCGATTTTATCATATGACTATCCTTGAGACAAAATTTTTTTTATTTTCTCAATAATATAGATCAATATTCATGAATTTATTTTAATTTTTACAGTTGAAAATAACTAAATTGCCACCAGCAGAGCGTTTAGTAGTTCTGGAAACTAATGAGATCCAGATAAACAGCGGAAGTGAAGAGCAACTCGGCTTGACATGGACACCACGAGAAGCTGGAAGTTGGAGGGACACTTTGCAGTTCTGCGACAACAGGCGAATCAAGTATGACGTTACTCTAACAACTACTTCATTGGAGACAAATAAAAAGGGTTTAACTAAAGGTAAATCTAGAATCTTAACCCAAACAAATTTTAACAATGAGTCAAGTTACGGAAGTCAGCCCAAGAAACTTCCTCTAAGTTCAACATCAATAAATTCTGTACCAGCGGCTAAGAAACCGGTATCCACAGCAGTAGTCCAAATAAAACACACTGAGAATAAAGAAAATGTCACAAATGTCCATTCAATTAATCATACTCGAGTTTCGGATAATAATTTGCGTAATAAGTCTCAAACAACTGTTAAAAGTAACGTAAATTTAAATTTTGATGATTTTCAATTAACTCCTCTGAAGCCACCAGCAGCATTGCGAACCAAAATCCCCGAAATACAAATAGAAGACCACACACTCGTCGCTGTAGGCTTACGTTCTTCAAGCAATGTGCCTGACATCCACGTGTTTGAACCAACGGATGTTGAATTTTCACCTCGAGACTCCCGGATAAGTTCGCCGATTAACGACGGGCCGCATTTACGTCGCGAAACTTATTCAAATCCCCAGCCAAAATTTACTGAGCGCATGATTGTTATTGATCAGGATTCTACAGAATGCCAAGAAGAAACCTTTGAAGATTCTTTATCTCCACCACATTGCCAAGAGCCTAACAACGGACCCCACAATTTTTCTACAATAATTGATAATATAAATTTTATAACTCCAGTAAAAATAAAATCACCTGATAATTATTCACCGAGCAGCAATGGCACTGAATATTTTTCAATTCAGTCTAACCACTCTTTTAGCATCAGTGAAAAAGGTTCTCTTAATTCATACAAATTGAACAGTACTTATGAATTATTACCGTCTCCTGGGAATAACAATGAGAGTATTCAATTAACTCACCAATCAGAATTAAGAAGCGTTCAAGCAAGTAATAATTCTGATGATAAAACTTTGAATGTCAAAAATTCAACAATAACTTCTGGGGAATTTAAAAAAAATTCATCATCATCACCGGTATTTTTTGATCAATCGAGACTGAGCTTATCTCAGAGTCTTAGAAATGGAGACAATGCTAGCGCAAAGGATGTTTTGGAGGCCGATTTATGGGTCAGAGATAATCAAAGTCAAAATTATATATTTAGCACACCATCGCATCATATTTCTAGCAGCAAGAGTAATCTTGAGAAGATAAATGAAGAATCTTATTTATGCAAGACACAAACTTATCGTCTAGCTAAACCTAAATTTGTTCATCCTCCGCTCAATGAATCTTCAAGTACTGATCAAGTAGAAGCACGGTGTATTGAAATTTCCCCTCCGAGACGACTGCGCTGGTCTGAATTAATGAAGAAGCCCTCGCCGATCAAACACAATAAAATAATGAAGGATAAAGTAACTCAGAGTAGCTTGTTGAACAAGAAAAAAGTCCAGTATAGCGTCAGGAAAGGTAATTTATCTATTCCTGGTGTACGTATGTCTTCTTTGTCATTATCAGGGCTTAAGTCAGTGTCCAATACTACTAGTACCAACAAACCCATCAAAGCTAAAGATAAAACTGCGGTAAAAATATTCAGTCCTGATAACATAATTGCTCAAGTGTACAATCCGTATGTAACGATGAAAAACGATCCGTTTTTAAGCATGAGTCTTTATTACGATGAAAACTTTTTGGTTAAACAAGAGCAAGAGTACACTAAGTGGCTCAACAGATTGATGACACCTCCGGAGCAGCTTGACACAGACGTCGAGGAAGCGCCGATAGACGTGGGTAAAATTTGGCAATCTTGTCGCTCTAAAGAAAATGTCTTAGCAGAAACTAAAGAAAAAGTATCTGCGAGGTACCACACAAACACTCGTTTGAATTCTCTCCGCAAAGCTGCCGCTGCTATGCTCAGAAACGGAGAAGTAACGAGTGTATTAGCAAATGTAACAGCTTGTATAAATAAAGGGATGTTTATTATCAGACAAGATCGGGATTTGCATC